GACAGGAAGCCAGAAGACCACCTTCAACCATGGCAAGTCTTCGATCTCATCGGAGGTACAAGCACTGGGGGGTAAGTGGCAGAAAGTCAACCCGGACGTGTCCCCTCATTCTGATCTCCGCCTCAGCATAATTGCTCTCATGCTCGGTTGCCTCAGAATGTCAGTCGACGAGTGCTATGAAGTTTACATGAAGCTCTCGAAGACGATATTCAAGCCCAAACGTTGGAAATGCAACGTTTTCAGCCGCAGCATCGACCTTATCTCCGCCAACGAGCGGTACGATTCAGCCAAGATGGAAGAGCTGGTCAAACAAATCATCAAAGAACGGACGGGTTCTCGCAACAGTATGCTTCAGGATCCCTTACAAGGATCTCCATGTAAAGTGCACGTCTCCTCTAGCTCATCTTCAGATGAGACTTTGTCTGACCAAATTTTCCAGGTTCGTTGCGACGGTTCGCGCAGACGACGAGGAACTTCTCCTATTGCGGTCTTACGTCAACAAGCAGCAGCCAGACATGCACTCTGCAAAGTTCGAGATGTGGGAGGCTCTCCGCGCAACCTCTGCCGCGAGCACTTACTTCAAAGAATACCGGCGTGGCAACGAGGAGGGGTACGTCGACGGGGCTTTTAAAAGCAATAACCCCATCTTCGAGGTCCACCACGAAGCCGCCGACCTTTGGCCTGGACGTGAAGTCTTTCTCATTAGCATCGGGACAGGGACAAAGCCGAGCACACCGCTTGGTGGCCATGTTGTCAAGCTTGTCAGATCCATGACCAAGCTTGCGACAGCTACGGAGGGATCGTGGATCAGATTTCACCGCACACATAAGCAGTTAGCGGAGGACAATCGTCTTTTTCGGTTCAGCGCTCCAGGGATTGGGGAGGTCGATCTTGGAAATTACAAGATGATTGGAAATGTGGCGATGAGAACCGAGACGTATCTGCGAGATACCACTACCGCTCGAGACATCGCACGGTGTTCAAAGGAGATGGTAGCAATCCAGACCAATGAGTACACGACAGTTCACAAGCTGAAAGACAGCGAGAGAGGTACGATCTGTGTGAAAACATGATATACATCAGCTAATGTATTTACAGATTGCCTCAAGCTCCTGTCCGGTGCAGGGGGTGCTTACGAGAGCCAGAGATTAAGCATCGAAACGCCCGTTCAAGGAACTTGCCACTGGTTCCTCAACCACAAAGCTTTCACAAGCTGGCTAAGAGATGCCTCTTCGGCTTTACTATGGGTTACAGCCAATCCCGGTTGCGGCAAAACGGTTCTGTCTAGATTCCTCGTCGATGTACTTTCCCGACAAGCCTCTGAAGCCACGGTCTGCTACTTTTTCTTCAAGGCCGGCGAAGAGGGGCGACACCATGCACACCAAGCCCTATGTGCCATCTTGCACAATGTGTTCAAGGTGCATGCCAAGGCTATCGAATGTGTGATGAGGCACTACTCGTCAAATGACGCCAAAAACTTCACACAGAACATCGAGGCCTTGTGGGACAGTCTGTGCGATGCATCCGATTCGTTGCCAAACAAGCAGATCATCGTCATCATCGACGCCCTAGATGAATGCAGCGAGCATTCAAGAAATCGTCTCATCGACCTTCTTGTAAGCACTTTCCCCCGGATGATCGGCAGCCGGAAGTTACTCGGGCGTCTGAAGATCATCGTGACAAGTCGTCCGTGGCCCAGTATTGAGAGTCGCTTCCGCTATCTCAGCTGCGTTCGTCTTCGTGGCGAGAACGAGACGTCTTCGCTCTCAAAAGACATTGAGACAATGGTCAAAGCAAAGGTCAGCAAGTTGAAAGTGGAAGGCACGATAACGCCTGAAGCCTGCACCATACTAGAGACAAGCCTTGCTCAGGGGGCCGATCGGACATTCCTCTGGGCATCTTTGGTTTTAGAAACCATATCCAAGCTCCCATCGCGAAAACTGAGCGTGGTCAAGAGCACCCTTGAAGTCACTCCTGCCAGTCTGGATCAGCTGTACGAAACTGCGTTGCAGGGCGTTGAGGACCGAGTTGCCACGACTAAGATGTTGCAGATCATCCTCGCCGCCACTCGCCCTCTCACTCTTGAGGAGATCAATCTGGCAATGAACATCGGCTCCACCCATGAGACCGTCCAAGACCTTCTGGACGACCTCGAGCCAGATGTAGAGTATACCGTGAAGAAGCTTGGAGGCTTTTTCGTGAGAATCATGAACTCGACAGTGTACCTCGTACACCAAACCGCCCGAGACTTCTTGTTACGCATCAAGTCAGCAGATTTGACGGGCTGGAAAGTTTGTCTCGATATTTCAGATTGTCACTCAGCGATGTCTCAAATCGCTATTGGTGTCCTTCTTTTGAAGGGTTGGCCAGTGAGAGAGCCATCCTTCGAGAAATCGGGCTCGATAGAAAAGTCGAATAAGTCTTTTGAGGAGTCTCTTACACCGACTACAGCGCGATTTTTCATATACGCCGCAAAGAACTGGGCACGCCACGCCCAACTTCAAGGCAATGCGTTTGAGACCGATGTCACTCTGCGTCAATGTATCGCAACACTGTGCAACGTGGGGGATGCTAGGTTTCATGCCTGGTGGTATTTCATGTGGGACCATCCTTGGTGGTTCCTGGATATCTTTCGGATTGGCGCCAGCGACTATTCAAACGCAAGCCAATTTCCATTACATTTAGCAGCTGGGTGGGGATACCCTGCTGTGATGAGGGGTTTGATAGACTCCCAGTCTTCCACGATAACATCACGCACGTCGGAAGGTTTTGACTGTTTGGTCGCAGCATCGATGACGCATAAGGCTTCGGTTGTCAAATGGATATTAGCCAACTTTGAGCCCTCGCGCTTGCAGTTGGGTATCGCGCTACAGGGTACTGCCAGCGCTGACATCTCCAGACTGTTGGTGGATAAGGGCGTCGATCTTCAGCAAGAGTATCCGAGCCCCAAAAGACATGTCGTGGAGAATAGGCTGGTGCTTTTGCAAGCCGTATATGACACAAAGGAAAAGTTTGAATTTCTTTTATCCAAAGGTGCCGCTGGTTGGGGGGATGCCGTCAGGTCAGCAGCAGGCTCGGGAAAGGTTGAACAGCTGCAACTTCTCCTAAGCGCAGCGGATAGTGTGGCCGAGCATGAAAAGCTTCTGGACCTTCCCGATGCGCTGAAACTGGCAAGTGAGAACGGCCATGCCTCGACGAGGAGGCTCCTCTTGAATGCTGGTGTACAGGAGCCCAAGGACACAGACATTTCGGCGGGTTTAGTGGAGGCAGCGACGCTTGGGTGCGACGAATACAACATACGAGCACTGGTTGAGGACGGAGCTCGGGACGTCGAAGGCAAGGCGTTGTTCTCGAGAGCATCCTTCGGCGAAGTCGAGGGGGTCCGCACATTACTGTCAGTGCTGGAGTATCCCTGCGAGCTTGTGAATGCCGCTCTGCTGATTTTCTTCGACACGTATCTTGATGATGGAGCCAGAGGATTTTCGATGAAAACCATCCACAAGACTCTGTCGTCAACCAATGGCCGAAGACTTTGGAATGGCTTTGCCAGACAGCCAATGATTGGCCAAAGTCAACAGGCAAACGAGGGATTCCTGAAGCTGATGGCGAGTCGGAATGCACGACTCCCAGCACACAGGTTCCACCAAGCAGTTTGTTGTGCGATCGCTATGGATGAGAAGCTTGCTATCTTTCTCATCGAGAATCGCAAGACATTACAGGAAAGCAGTGATATGGCTGGGACATATGAATATCTTGCGCTGGCCTGTCTTTGGGGTCGGGTCAGAATCATCGAATATCTCTTCGAGAAGGACACTGAGAAAGGTCCGCTGACCTTGTGCGACCAGCTCTTCCGCGCTGTTGTGGTTTCGGGAAATATCAATGCTCTAGACATTATGCTTCACAAAAGAAGCGCCAGCGGCTTGGGCTCTAATGTTGGATTTGTTGGGGAAGAGTTCTCGGCCTACTGGGTCGAAGTCGAGAAGGTGCTAGGTTCTCACGACGCCGCGGCATCTCCGCCTGGCATCGCCGCCAGGCTCGGGTATCAAGATATGGTGGCCAAGTTGACGTCGGCTAAGATGGTGGTGCGAAGTCCGGCAGCGGAATGAGCATGGCGTGCGGCATTGTGTGTCGGTTCGGTTTGGCATGTTATTATTAGAAAGGCACTGTGTGTTGGTTCGACGGGAATGTTTTCATTGGACCTCGATATTGGCGCACGTAGGATTTTCCAGCCCTACAGATTGTCCGTGTAGATGATGCAGACATGGGATTGTGAATTTGGAATAATTCCCTGAAAATGCTGACGAATTCTGTTCTGAGTGACACAAAAGCCAGCTGAGTGGAAGCTCCGAGATAGGCTGACTTATTAACAAGGCGATAGTGAGAGTGAGGTGAGTCGGCATTTGAAGATGTGAAATCAGATCAAGACCGAGCTCCGCGAATGATCGCCGACCGAGAGCCGTTGAGGGAAAGAGTGGGTACCGTGACAGCCCCCCGGAAACCTCAGCTGTGGTATCGGAATGCACAGACGCACAGACGGAGGTACATCTGATGCCATATGAATTACTCGCAGAAAGCAAGTATCCTTGCCTTGTGCGCCACTCCCATGGCGTCCCTCTCGCGTCATCGATACCCTGAGGTCCTGACAAATCAACACGGGAATTTACTGGCAGCGCCCATGTCACTTTACTGACTCTGCGCTGTGGGCAGCTACTTAGCACATTATTAACGACATCCACATTGAGCCTTCCCGAGCGAATTCTTGCCCGCTGCTGGTGGTTCTCAGACGCCCTTTGCCTGCCCAACCACACCTGTAAGCCTTTAAGCAGCATTGCTCTTTCCCCCTCCCCCTCCTCACTATTTAGGCCGATTTCCTCCCGCGTCACCGCCGCGTGCCCCTCCTTCCATTCCACATGTCTTTCAGACTCTTCCGTCCAGTTCAACGCATCGCGAAAACCTCATTACCTTTCACCTACCGAAACTTCCACGTATCTTCGCCCAACATGGTTGTCCACAACGTCAAGAGGTAAGATTTCTTGTCGCCCCCTTTGGCGTTCGGCCCAGCACTAGATATCCCCGCGGTAGCTGGCGGGCCGCTGTCAACGATGATTGCTAACAGAATTCCCTTACAGCAAGGAGGAGTTCAACGCCAAGCTGGCAGACCCTAAGACCCCCCTCATCATTCTTGACGCCTTCGCCACCTGGTGCGGTCCCTGCAAGGCCATCGCTCCTATCCTCGCCAAGTAAGTTGGTTCCTTCTTTCTCCTCCATGCGCCTACAAGGCTGCGTACCGTTCGATGCACCCGCTGACACGTCTTTGTCTTACAGCCTGTCCAACACCGAGGCGCACACTGGACTTCACTTCGTCAAGATTGACGTCGACGAGGTTCCCGACCTGAGCCAGGACCTTGGCATCCGCGCCATGCCCACCTTCCTTATCTTCAAGAACGGCGAGAAGGTCGAGGAGGTGGTTGGCGCCAACCCCAACGCCCTCACTGCCGCCGTCAAGAAGTTCGCTGCTGAATTCCCCCCGGTTGCTGCGACGGAGGAGAAGGCCGAGTAAATATACAAACATGCGATTCGGTTTTTGGATGGAGGAAGGCATTAAAAGTAGCCAAGACTGTGGGGCTCCACGTTGAGCGCGTCATGGCAATAGATACCACACCACAATAAACATGCCCGTTACCTAATGTCTCATTTTCCGAGCTGTGATGATTAGTTGCACACATCTAGTCATGTTGAGAGTTCCGACTATGTGTACAGCTTGGCGCAGGCTGATGGGCGTTCAACCATGATACAGATGCTTTGGTTTGCGAGCTCAACGGGCAGTTGATAGCAGAGAGTGTAACAGAAGTTGGCTAACCGGTTTATAACCTACGGATTCCAACGCGAGCTACCAAGCTTCAGCAGGTGAATCCTGACGTACTGACGATCCCTCAGCTCACAGCTCGACTTAGCGACTATTCACCAAGCACTAGTACATATCTTGAATTCTGAGATGAATTGGAGTTGTTCATCTAAAGGCAACCAACCGACGAGCAGAAGCGCTGGTAGCCCTCGACTTATGTACACTTGGCTTACCTGAGCCAATGACCTCATCTGACCGCAGATTGCCCACGCCTTTGATTGACAGGGATTGGCTCAATTCCACGACTCCGGACCATGTCACCGCAAGGCGTTGACAATGGCGCCAGGCCAGGCCGAAAGAGAGACAACAACGGCCTTTATCGGGATCGGGCGGGCTCAGTTCCGCTGCTGGGCCGGGGGTGAGTCAATTCCAATGGCCGTTTTGGCGCTGGGCCCCGCGCCGGTTTTCGCCCCGGTACCGCGGGGCTGCTTGCCCGCGGGAAAGGACGCCCCAGCCTCCAGACACCCTGCGCAACCGATTTCGATAAACATGGCACGATGGTGCATGCAGCAAATCACGCAAAGGCGTAGCTAGCGTCCGCCCGTATCAATCGTTTTGCGGTGTATTAAAAGGGCTGAGGAAACCCGAGCCTGAACCGGCCAAACCCAATCAAAAGTGTTTAAAGCCAAGTGTGTCGAAGTCCTATCGGGAGCATCTACTAATCAGAAATAACTTTCTTGACTTCACCGCATACAGTCTATTCGAGGATATAAGTCATTTGAGTCACACTTGGGATATTATTTCATATCGCAACTTCTAGGGAAACAATTGCTATCTTCACATAGGAAAAGCACAAGATGACGAACCACATCGTTGTTCTTGGGTGAGTTTCCTCCAGTTTCAAGCTCGTTTACACACTGACCGTCTTCAGCGCTGGCGTGTCCGGCCTCACTGCCGCCCTGCTCTTGTCCAAGAGCAAAGCCAACTCTGTTACTGTCATCGCGAAGCACATGCCTGGCGACTATGACATTGAATACACATCTCCATGGGCTGGAGCCAACGTCCTGCCGTGAGTCTTCGATATCACGTTATCAGACATATGACACTGACCACCGCCAACTTCCAGGATGGCACCCGCCTCCGACAACAGATGGGAGAGGAGGACATGGCCCGAGATCAAGCGCCTGGCCGCTGAGGTGCCCGAGGCCGGCATTCACTTTCAAAGTGAGTGAGTTACTTGATCATTTACAGCATGTCACGTTCGTACTAACACAGTCCAGAGTCGGTTGTATACCGCCGCAAGAAGGATATTGAGGCCGGCGGCAACCCCTACGATGCTCTCTACTCCGTAGACCCCTGGTACCGCGACATGATGCCCGACTTCCGCGAGCTGCGCCAGGACGAGCTCCCGGAAAACGCCCACTCGGGCTGCATCTTCACCTCCGTCTGCATCAACACGGCGCTCTACCTGCCCTGGCTGATCGGCGAGTGCCGCAAGAACGGCGTCGTCTTCAAGCGCGGCGTCATCGCGCACATTCACGAGCTCAAGAGCCTGCACCACACGGGCAACCCCGCCGACATCATCGTCAACGCCTCGGGCCTGCTGGCGTGCAAGCTGGGCGGCGTCGAGGACAAGACGGTGCGCCCCGCGCGCGGGCAGGTCGTCGTCGTGCGCAACGAGATCGAGCCCATGGCCACCATCTCCGGCACCGACGACGGCCCGACGGAGGTGTGCTACATGATGACTCGCGCCAACGGCGGCGGCACGATCCTGGGCGGCACCTACGACAAGGATAATTGGGACGCGAACCCGGATCCCAACATTGCGGTGAGGATCATGAAGCGGGCTGTCGACCTGTGCCCTGCCCTGACGGGCGGCAAGGGCATCGAGGCGCTGAGCATCATTCGTCACGGCGTCGGACTGAGGCCGTACCGCGAGGGCGGCGTGAGGGTCGAGATTGACACCAAGACCTTTGAGGACGGCACGCCGATTGTCCACGACTACGGCCACGCTGGATGGGGATACCAGGGATCGTACGGCACTGCGGAGGGTGTTGTTGAGTTGGTGAACCAGATCAGGACGGAGAAGGGCGAGAAGCTGGTGAATGAGCCGAAGCTCTTCTCATGGGACCGGCCGGCGAAGTTGTAGACATGTGGTGTTTACTTTTTCTCCTCCTTTCATTTATTTTCTGGATATATTGGGCATGATATTCTATGATAGAAAAATAATTAAGCTGCGTCTTTGAGGCAGCTAGCCGAGATTCTCTCCTTTTACTGCCCGTAGGCTTTGACAGTACGAATTCTGCAACCCAGGATGTCCGCACAGTGTGTCGTACCTGCAGTTCGCGACAGCTTTCAGAAGCTCCCCTGTCCATCACCAAGCCTCACCACCAACACTTCCACAGCTCCCGAGGCTGCACCATGGCCGACACCACGCCACCAATCCATGTCCAAGTGACGCGCCTGGTACTCGACATTGCAAACGGCCGCCATGCGCTCTCTAAGGCCATCCCACCACTGCTCCTCGCGCTCGACGCGGTCCTCTGCGGGCTGATCATCTGGAAAGTCCCATGTTAGCCACATTTGCCCTCCACCAGCGAAGGGGCTTCTGGTAGCTGACTTGGAGTTTTCAGACACGGAAATCGACTGGGTGGCGTACATGGAGCAGGTGGCCCAGTTCGTCTCCGGCGAGCGCGACTACACCAAGATCAAGGGCGGCACTGGCCCTCTCGTCTACCCTGCCGCCCACGTCTACACGTACACGGGACTCTACTACCTCACCGACGAGGGAAAGGACATCTTCTTGGCGCAGCAGCTGTTTGCCATTCTTTACTTGGCTACTCTTGCGGTTATCATGGCTTGCTACTGGAAAGCGAAGGTACAATTGCACCCTCGTCCAATCGCCATACAAAGCTAACGTCTTTTTCACAGGTCCCGCCCTACATCTTCCCCCTCCTTATCCTCTCTAAGCGCCTCCATAGCGTCTTCGTCCTCCGCTGCTTCAACGACTGCTTCGCGACACTCTTCCTCTGGCTTGCCATCTACTTCTTCCAGAAACGCCTCTGGACGCCCGGCGCGATCCTCTACAGCTGGGGCCTCGGCATCAAAATGTCGCTCCTCCTCGTCCTGCCCGCCGTGGGCGTTATACTCTTCCTCGGCCGCGGGTTCGGAGGCAGTCTGCGCGCGGCATGGATCATGGCACAGCTACAGATCGTCATCGCCGTCCCGTTTGTGGCCAACAATGCAAAGGGCTACCTCGGCCGCGCCTTCGAGCTGTCGCGGCAGTTCTTCTTCAAGTGGACGGTCAACTGGCGCTTCGTGGGGGAGGAGACGTTCCTGAGCAAGCCGTTCTCGATTGTGCTTCTAGGTCTACATGTCGCGGGGCTGGTCCTCTTCATCACCACCCGCTGGCTCAACCCCGCCCAGCGCCCGCTGTCGTCGCTCGTGGGCCCCATGCTGCAGGGCAAGTCGCCGTTTGCAGGGTTGGAGGAGAGACAGGTGGCCAGCCGGGTGACGCCGCGCTACGTTCTCACGACGATCCTCTCGGCCAACGTGTTGGGTCTGCTCTTCGCCAGGTCTCTGCATTACCAGTTCTACGCCTATCTAGCCTGGTCGACGCCGTACCTCCTCTGGCGCAGCGGCCTTCCCGTCGTCCTGGTGTACGCGCTGTGGGCGGCGCAAGAGTGGGCGTGGAATGTGTACCCCAGCACGAACGCGAGCTCGCAGGTCGTTGTCGGCGTTATGGCAGTCACCGCTGTCGCGGCGTGGTTCGCGGCGGCGGGCGAGGGCAAGCCGGAGGAGAAGGTGGAGGAAAAGGAGCAGTGAAGTGTGTGGGATATCATGAGTCGTTAGGTCGTTTGCAAATCAATACTCGTCTTCGGAGTCGGATGGCGGCATCTTGCCGACGTTGGAATCGCTCTCGTCTTCTTCGTCCTCGTACCTGGTCTTGGCAAACTCTTTCGGCCTGGTCTTGTTAGCAATGGCCACGGAGTATGGCGGAAGAACGGGTTAACATACCAGTAGGGCTGCTTGCGCCAGGCCTTCTCATCGCGGACGACGTTGATGATCTCGCCCATCACGCGGCCGTCTGCCTCATCGTACCGCTCCGCCAGCACATACCCGCCGCGCTTGATCCAGATGGTGTTGCGGAAACGCTGGGCCAGTTCGAGAACGAGGTCCTTCTTGTTGGGCAGCTCGCAGTTGTATAGGTTGTTGCCCTCAGCCTTGATGACGCGCACGATGGCCTGGTTCTTCTCGAGGGTGTCGGGAGGATTCAAGGTCTCCTCAGCCGCCGCTTGGGCAATTCGTTTCGTGCGTGCCATTGTGTTTAGGGGTTGGCGAGGCTACCAGGGAAAGAATGGCGAGGCTGTATCCGTAGGTGGGGGATTATTCTCGAAGGAAATCAGACTCGACAACTTTTTTTTTTTTTTGGTGGCGTGGTGGGGTAAATTGGTCAATTGGGGGTTTGGCGCGGGGCAGGCCCGAGTTCCGCTAGCGCTGATGGACAGCAGGGACATTGCTGGGCTACGTCAAGTCACCGGAGCTTCCTCCTCGAAGCTAGACAATTCCTTACAAAAACATCACAGTTGAAAAGGTTCCCCATGAGGAAATCCGACCAGCTGGGCCACCACCCTTTACATCGATCTAGAGATCACCGGCGCCTTACATCACGATCCGGACCTGTAAAGGCGGACATACTCCGCCTAAAGCTTCCA